AATTATAAATTCAGGAAAGCACAGAGGCCATTCACAGCAGCAGCAATTGCTGATAACATAACTTACCAGATTTGCCTAACTGAATCATTTCCCCAGTCCATCCTGAACCTTGAACACCAGAAAGACATAGGACTCAGTTCACATCTTACAGAGACCTTGAGTCGTCCACACTGGTAAAAGCTGAGGAACCCCAAGTTCTTGTTAATTCCTTGGGAGATGGTGTTAAACTTTGTGATGAATTCAAATTCAAATGCACAGTGGAGCCTCCCTCTGAAGGGCTTTTGCAGGAAAATATGTTGACTCTTAAAATAAGCAACAGTGTGTTCTGGGAAACTTGACACATTTTCCCATTGGTTTCTTAAAAAGTGAGGTTGCCCAAGTGCCGGACTGACATCTGGATACATTACAAGGTCCCTGTGTCCCTCATGTTTCTGCCACAGAGCCTGTCAACAGACATGTCCCTGGGAGTTCAACACTTAGAACCTAGGCATGCACATGCCTAATTCACATTGAGGCCGTGAAGCATGGTGATAAGGGGATACAGCTTCCTCCCTGCACTTCCTGACCTGGAATGGCCCGAAGGAACTGCTGTTTGCCTGACTGGAGAAACTTATTTGTAATGATGGCTTATACAAGTTTTCCCAATAGGACAAAGAGTGACTCCTAAGGACTGTTTCAGGTTGGAAAAATGGTATGGAGGGGGGGATACACTTAATCCTCCTCTCTCAATGCACCATGGCCCCAATCCAAATCAGGCTCATGTTTGCCTGGGAAGCTCCAAATATATAATGTCCAGAATGACACTGTAACACATGGAATCAGCCCTGTGTCCTGTTATCAGAATGGACTGGGAAAAAGAATTCTAGTACATATCAAGCATACTACATTGTAACAGAGTTCCTGGCCAAAATATCTGCAGACAGAGGGCAGGAGGAGGCTTTAGCCTATACATCAGGACTCTCTACATTTAGGTGCAAGGACTGCTGAGCGAGACATAAGAAACTCCTTTACCACCACTAAGAAACCAGTGCAACCAACTCAAAAGCAAGGAGATAATTTCCAAAGAAGAGAACAAGACAGGAAAAAGTTAGAGTATTAGAACACTATCACTTGGTTTGTTCAGCCAGTCATCTATCCTAGAGGTATCAGACCTGTAAACTCAGCCCTGTGTTACATATTACAACCAGAAGGAAAAGGCGCCATATGACAGCTTTGGTGTACTAATGGTATAGGTACTGTTCCACATACATATGAAAGCTGACTTCTGCACACAAAATGCATAAAAAATGAGGAATCTATAAGCAAGTCAGTATCATACATAGGGTTCCCTTTCCCAGTCCAAGCTGGACATACAGAATCTTTTCTTAAACTTCTGGAAACCCCACTAACCCACTGTTCAGGAAGGTAATCTGGGAATAAATTCAGTCCCCCCCCCTCACCATTCCAGATCTGCAAGATTTACAGCTCTATGCATGCAGATATAGCTGTGTAGTAGAGATGGGACTATATAGATTTTCCTCTTTTTTGATTATTCATATTTCTCTGGTTTTTATAGGTTTATTATAGATTTAACATTTTATTGGAATGTAATGAAGGCCTCTCTTCTTTGTGGGTCAGGTATATAGAAGGCCTCTCTTCTTTGTGGGTCAGGGTATTTTTCCAGTTGATGTTAACAGACAAGACAATAACATTCTTTTGGTACAAAAGAAGGTAGAAGGTTCATGGATCTAATTGTTTAGGTTACAACTTCATAGTGTCTGGGTCAAAAAGGATCTTTTACTTGGTATCAGAAAACACCTTTGTTTGGGTGAGAACAAGCTTTGGCCGATATGACTTAGGTCAGGTCAAGTAAATATGTGACGCTATTGCACAGACACACCTTTCTTACATTTGACCAATAAGGAGATTTTTATGTAAATGTTGTTTAAGTTTTTGTAACCAATTATGCCTTCTGAATATTATTCTCATGATGATGATGTCATATTAAGTATTTAATTTCATGTATTTCCTGATTGGGCTCAGAAAGCAGTCAGCTTTGATGGGTCCTTTGGCCTGTTTTCTGTATTTCATTGCAATAAAATACAAGATCCTCCTCCTCATTTTGACTTCAATCTTCTATTTTTGACTGGATATTAATTTGTATAACAGCTGCTTTATGGCCAGTCTCCTGGACTGGAGCCAGGCAACTTGAACCTCACTCTCAAATGATTTATTTATGTATTTAAAAGATTTCTATGCCACCTCATCAGAGTCCTGTTTAAGGCAGTTTAAAATTAAAATAATAAGCTAACAGTGCAAGAACAACAAGCCACTGGATGTAAACAACATCAAACTATCCATAAAACAGACCTCAGACCAAAGCAGACCACTAAAAAAGCTGGAAAGATCAAAGCCTTGGTTAAAAGATATCTTTTGGCCTGGTGCCTAAAAGAAAGTAAAATGGGCACCAGGCAAGTCTCAAGGGGGAGGGTGTTCCAAAGGTAAAGTGCCATCAAAATAAATGCTCTGTCTGTCCACAGAGCAGGGCTTGAAAAGCAGATCTTAACTGGAGGCCCAGATGGTACAGGAGGAAGGAAGGGATATATCGCATTTATATCCTGCTGTTCTTTTATGATAGAATTCAAGGCAGGGTATGTAAGTTGCTCAAAAAAATCTCCCATCCAAGCATAGCCAGACCCAGACTTGCAAGATGGCTGTATCACATGCCCTCCAACTATACCCTGGAAAGAACCCCCAAAATCTAGAGAAAGATCTCTGAATTAAACCAGGATCTCTCTCTTTGCATTGATTATAATCTGAGTGTGACTCACTGGGTCAACAATGACACATGGCCTGTGTACACTGGGGGATGCGAAGAGACTATGACCCTTTTCAAATTGCCTTTGTATTCCGTTTTAGTAACTGGTTGCTAATGGATTTTTTCTGTTATTTCCAACAGACCTATTTTAGTAGCTGGCAGCTAGCAGAATTTATTTACCTGTTCATACAAACCTGCTTGTGTCAGGATAGCAAAGCGTGGTTGAGCCGTTTTTGAAGGAAACTGCTTTTTTCTGTTTTCAACCCCTTTATTGCGCTTCTGAATCGCTGTGGTGTGCTGTTTAAAATGTCCATAGCACTTCTTACAATGCCACTTTTCCCCCCACCCCATTTTGCTGTGCAATCTTCCTCAGACTTTAAAAAAAACATTCTGATGTGAGTGCTATAGCAGCACCACAGAGATGCACTGACTCCATGGAGTCAATTCATCTCAATGGTGCCACTATAGTGGTTTTGCGTTATAGTGGTCCCATTAGAACAGGGTTTTTTAAGTCTGAGGAAGATTGCATGGCAAAAAAAGGAGGGGGGGAAGCGGCACTGTTTGAAATGACATAGCGCTTCAGAGATGGCTCATTAACGATAGGAAATTCACTGTATGATGCCCCCGTCCCTGTATCGCTTTACTCGAAATCAGGCCAACAACGAATAACGTCTGGTGTGGAATGGTAATGTGAAAAGGCCTTTCCAGTCCCTGATGCACTCATCTACCACATCAATTAGGCAATGCACCCTTATCCTGGCAGTGACCAAGATCCCATGGCTATTACGCAGAGGGCAAAGCTGTAGAAAAATAATGGAATTATGTTCCTTCCCACTCAGTGAGATCTGTAGGGAATAATTTGCCATTTAAATAAGGCTGATGCCCAGTTCTGATTGGGCTTTCTCTGCCATGGCCTCTAGGCTACAGAACCAGGGAACTGTGGGACCCAGGATCTTTGTATTTTTAAGAGGGCCCAAAAAAACCCCACCATAAACACAATCCTAACTCCGAACATCAGCTTGCAGTCAAAGAATCCCTAAAATCAGTAATTCCACAAGAGACAGAAATGACAGATAGCTGAATTGGTCCATATAAAAATCCAAACGCAAAATACCTTCTATTAGGACCAACCGAAATATCACAAAACAGTTGCAAAAGCTTTTAAAGTCTCCAGAACTCTTAATCTGAATGATTTTTTAAAAAATTGCAGACTGAAATGAGTAAGATCATAGCCTATAAGTCTCCCCCCCACCATTTTGTTTGTTTATTATTATTCCTTTCTACAAATCCAGTCCAAAAAAGAATTCTAGACAACTCAAAAGCTTTCACGTTGTTACATAACTTTTCTTTTTGAAATGGGTTAAAATAGCAACATACAACTACATAAAATTCCAATCAAATTATATCTAGCATTAATGCCTATGCTTCTCCAATCCAGTGCCTGAGCACCTACACCTACACAGCCTCTTCCAAGTTAACATAGATAGGGCTGTGCTGTAAGAAGGCTTTGATTATTAATCCCTAGATTTTTATAACTTGTTTTTTCTCACAGGCACATAGGACATAGCTTCTGGCTGTAGCACAAGCAAGCATGTTTTGGTAAAACTATTGTAGCAATTTTTTCAAGTTTTTAATTTTAGTTGTTCAATCTGACATTAAAATACATGAAGCTATTGTGTGCAGCAACTAAGAGACAGGGGTGCATGTTAGAAATTCAATGCATAAATTTGCACGCACACTCTCTTACCCACACGACATATTTTCTATATAGCATGAACATAAACAAAAGCAGGTAATACATATGGCTTAAACACAACACTTACACGTTTAGATTCCCAACAGGAATATGCCCAGTGATGGCAACTGAAAAGTGCCTCCTCTAAATTGGGACTACCCTGCATCTGGTTGGCTTATTGAAAACAAAGCTCCTATGTGTGCTGTTTGTCACAATCCACCAACTGCACAAGCAGTCAATAAAAAAAGCCTTCCCACCCACACCATTTCTAAACCACTTTGCAATTATTATCTCAAATTACAATGTGGAAACTTTTAGAGTTTGCCAATTACAAAATAAGTGAATCATACCAAGTGGTGCTAATGCATTACAAACATCTTATGACAAGATTAAGTAACATTGTAAAACTCTATTTCTCATACATACACATTAAGCGCACCAAATCAATGTAAAAAAAATTGTACTTACGCAAAAAATGTTTTTCCAGCAAGGCAATTTCAAGATGGCCTTTGATCTCATTTAATCTATCAGACTCTGTTCGATTATATTCCTGGATTCCTGAAGCCATGTTGATTGTCCCAGGACCAGCCTATTTGGGGGGGGGGGGGGGGGATGGAGAGAAAGAACAATAACATTGATAGCTGAGAAGGCAGCTTCTCTCATGGGAGGAGGGTGTCAGTTATATATACATCAGAATAAGAATAATGCAACTGTGCATAAGACACAGATATATTTGAGGTCATGCGCAGTCCCAGCTACAAACCTCTTAGTCAGCATTAGCTAGCTGAAATGAATCAACAGCAGCTAGTCATAAGAGCAGTACTCCCCATCAGGATGCGTACAACACTGCGCTTGCTCAGACCTCCAAGAGCCATAGAGGGGAAAATTTTGGAGTTCTGCAGCAAAAAAAAATTACAATCCTCCTCCTACTAGTGGGAAACACATTCTGAGTAATGGACATTCAGAGAAAATAAAGCCCAATTGTTTCAAAAGTAGTCTTTAAACAATCATTAAGCAACATACAAACGGATCAGCTGAATGCTGGCGGACACTGCATAAATCCCTCCTCATGCATATGCTAATGCATTGTGCAGCAGAGCATAACAAAAGGAAAGAGGGATAAAAAGAGAGAGACTGCAGTCTTCAAGCTCCGGTAGACAACGAACAGGAGCACCTGTGCCCAGAAGGCAGGAGAAAACCTTACTGAGCGCAAAATTCTCATACCAAGCATTCCCCCTCCCCCCGCATCCGCCCCAGACGTAACCAATTTCCTTCTGTGCAGAAATAAATGCGTACCCAGAGAACAGATTAAATAAGGAGCTGTCAGAACTGAGACAGCACAACTGCCAAAAAGGAGAGAGCAGTCTACACACAAGTGACACAGGAAGAGCAACAGAGGAGTACATGTGCCTGCGCAATCAGATGTACATGTGCCAGGTAGAGAACCCCAAACTTTAACCAATACTTTGCATGACAAAAAGAGAAACACTCCATGCAAACAGACAATTAACATACTAGGAAGAAAGGTTCTAGCCCCTCTCTTTGCTTGCTCCCACCATTTTCTGTTAGCAGGGAGTTTTCCAGTGGAGGAAAATTTAAAAACTGATCCTCCCCCACCTACTCTGAAGTGGCGCCCTCCATTCTACCACCTCACTGCCACTGCATGCCCCTGAATGGGTAAACAGGCTCTACATAAATATTTACTGAAAAACCAAAATATTTTACTTGTTGAAGTTATTGTACTTGCAAGGCATTATTTTTTCACAACAGCTTTAAAAAATAAACCTAGGATGATCACTAATAAAAGACCACATGAAACATCTATACCTAACAAATGAATTGTTATAAGAAACTGCTTTATTTAATAAAAGTGCAGTCAATGGTTCACATACATCCTTCATTCATCTGCACAACAGCCACAAAAACAAGATCTGCATTACTATCCCCATACTGTAAATGGCCCTAACCTGGATGGGCAAGGCTAGCCTGATCTCATCAGATCTTGGAAGCTAAGCAGGGTCAGCCCTGGTTACCACTTGGATGGGAGACCACCAAGGAAGTCCATGACTGCTACACAGAGAGAAGCAATGGCAAACGACCTCTGTTTGTCTTTGGTCTTGAAAACCTTAGGAGGTCTCCACCATATCGTAGATTAGAAGGCAGAGTCTGAAAGACCAACCAACCTGCCTCAGTGAACCCAAGTGCTCTGAAATTGAACAGAATCATCTGATTTACAATTCACTGCTACACCATAGGAAAGCTAATTATGCTAAGGAGGTTAAAACTCATGTAAAATCATGATACAGGCTTTGATACTATGAATGAGTTTGAAGTGCACTAGATAGAGGAAGAGTGCTCCTCAGCAGAATTCCTCTCAAACTTCCGTTTGCAGAAGATCAATGTTTTCCTGTGGGCCCATGAGCATGCACAAGTTTTAGTGGAAGAGGAAGCGCACTCTGTAGCTGAAATTAACATGCACAGAACTCATTCACAGACACCAAGCCATGGGGGAAGGGGCAAATGGAGGAAGAGTAAAAGCTGAAGAAATAAGAACTGACAGCAGCAGGCTACCATATCCTCTGCTGAAACATATCCATGCCCTTTCTGTAGTCTTATAAGGGACTCCCACAAACATTAATGAAGTTGCCCAGTAAATAGGAACAGGCATTTTCTAGATTGCAAAACAGCTTCCCCTTAGTGGGCCTCCAAACATTTCCAAGGTAATGCTACTGGGTAGGCTTCAGGTATTCCAACCGTACAATTCTAAGAACACTTTCCAGGGAGTTTGCCCCACTGAATTGACCTGAGTAGGATTCTGAGTACACCAGTTTAGGATTACTCTCTGAAGGACTAACAGGTACCCATATTCCCATGATCAGCGGAATCTACAGTCCTTCCAATGTGCTTTGCCATGTGGCTCCAGAGTCTCCTTCTGAGTACCTTAATGGTCTACTGGTGATGACACTTTCTTGCATGCTAGATGAGGACCACGGGTAGATCCTGTCCCCCTCGGACTCTAAGGGGCAGCTTCTTGCATCACTTAATGCTACTGGATTGCCTCCATGGAAGGCACAGATGCTTGCGGCTGCCACAATCCCTACTGCCCATAGCCCCTCTCAAAAGACTGCAACCACTGTTGTAAGCTCTCTGGCATCCCTGGGGGGACAGGATAAGAGAACTCCAGCTCCAGTACCAAAGCCACCTTGCTCAACCCCAAAGCTGGATCATATTCTGGCGGGCAGAAAGCGTGCCACTCTCCTCTGGCACTCACCCCTGGAAGCTCTGCTGGGCACATAATACCTCCTTTGGCCTGTGGGTGGAAGATCCCACTGACAGATCCATTGCCCAGCTCCCCTGCTGTTTCCAAGCAACATTGCAAAGCTGCAAATCCCCTGAGTTCTACTGAGCCAAAGAGTGTGGCTTTAATACTGTTGTGAGATCTCTGAAGGATGAATGCTATAAATCAAGATGCTGGGCTTCAAAGAACGCTCCAAAATCGAAAGCACTTAGAGAGCTCTCTCCAAGGATACCTTCTCTATAAACTGGAAGAGAAAACTATTAATTTCTCTTTGCATTTTCCCCTTAATCCAGGTTAGGTGGTTAGCTGCAGCATCATCCCGAGAACCAAAGCAAGGATTCCAGCCAGGTCAAACTCCAATTTTGAGCCATGTGCAGAGACCTGGGCTGGGGTAGATGGGAAGTTCAAGACTATACTGTCCTTAGGCACAGACTCAGAAAAGCCTGCCTACGCCACCATTTTGCCGCCCTTTTTAAAAGGAAAAACGAAACTACAAAGAGAGAACCCTTCCAGAGGCTTCTAGCTTGGGCCCCTCTTACCAGGATTCAGAAGAACTTTGGATAGCCGCAGGAATAGAAGGGTCTTGCTGTACTGAGTCAGTAGAGCCTCTTAGAGATCCTCACTGCGGCCCACCACTCCCAAGTTCATCTCTCAAGCAGACAGAAAGGAATTGAATTTCGAAAGGTTAGGAATCGTGGTGCTCAAATGGAGCACAGCCCACAACCTCTATCTGCCTTGAAACAGAGCCAAGGAGTGGGATCCGAGAGAGAAGCCCCTCCCCTCCAGGAATCACACAAAGATCAGCCCCGCCTGCCTGTATGAGGAGCTTCTTCCCAGAAGTTGAGCTCCACCCTGAACCACTGGAGAACAGTAACGAGCAGAAAACAATGGACAGGAGCAAAACTGGCCCTCTTCTGTCAGTAGAGATGTGCATGAGGTTTTTTCTTGTCTTGGGTTACAGAAACATTACAGAAACATTACAGCATTCCTTCAAAAGAACAATGTCCAATATCGATGGATTTTACCAGAAGGCCTTATATTCAACTACAAAGAGAAGAAGGAAAAGATTGACTCTCTCTCTAAAGCAGAAGCATTCCTGAAGCAACACCAAACTCCAACAAAAAAAAAGAAAGAAAAGAAGCAGAGGAAAAGAAGGCGACAGAAGAAAATAGCAACCATCAGGCATCAGCCACTGACAGCTCTTCATCTACTTCTGTGTCCCTGGATGAAATCTTTGACTCTGACTTTGATTTTGATTTTGGAGCTGCTGCACCCAGATGTTATAAGGTTAAAATCCCCTGGCAGAAGAAGAAGAAGAAGCATAAAGACAAGAAGACATCTAAATGAAGATTTAAGATATCTCTATGTCAGAACTTAAAGAATGTATAATATTGCTCAAATGCGATTCTAAAATTATGAAAATTTTTGTTCTTCCTACTTGAATACTTATTACTTAGTAATTAAGTGGTTTATTGTAAACTTGATTACATAGGGAAATACCCAAAGTGTAAGATAGATCATTACTGTACCTTGCTACTCTGAAATTGTAACGTGTAGTTTTTGTAGTTTAGAGTGAAAAGCAATTAAAAATTCTTTAAAAAAGGATGAAACTGCAGTATTAACTGCTTAATGCAAGAACACAACAGTGTGAAGGCAAATAGGAGCATTACGCACAAGGCACCTACATAACACAGAAGGAGCAAGTAGAAGAAAGTGTGGGCAAGGTGAGAATAGTTTACTGAGAAAAAGAGGGTAGACTTCAGAATTTGGTTATTAGACTATCTTGTAATTTATTTGCAAAGCACTGGTGGTAAATTCTCCAAGTGAATCTCTGCTACCCTGACCTTTCCAAATTTGTATAACAAGGGCAATATTTTTCTCACCACCCCAAGCTAGAACACTGACAGGAATGATTTTATTCACTTTATTTATACCCTTGCTGCTCTCCCCATTGGGCACACAAATCTTCCCCACCATGGCAGTGTGGGCTTTCAGACCTGGGTCTCCCAGATCATAGTCCAATACTGAAGGTTTCGGTTTTGACCTTTAAGGCCTTGAGCAGTCTGGGACCAACATATTTGCGGGACCACCTCCTCTGGTATACCCCCGGGAGAGCATTATGCTCTTCACAGAACAATCTGCTGGTGGTCCCCAGCCCTAGAGACATCCAGCTAACCTCAACCAGGGCTAGGGCCTTCTCAGCCCCAACCTGGTGGAACTCTCTGCCAAATAACATGAGGGCCCTGCACGATCTTATGCAGTTCTGCAGAGGCTGTAAGGCAAAGATGTTC